TCTGGGAAAGAGCTAGGTTTTGTTGAGAAAGAATCATTACTCAGTAGGCAGGTCTCTTTCCTGAAGCAGCTTGATCTTTTCAGAGTACTCAGATTCAAAAATTAGCCCTAGGGACCAGCTGATATTAGAGGGGTATTTGAACCTGTGAACTTTTGGCTTAAAAGTAAGAGTTCAACTCTCCCCAAGTTCTCTCTGGTGTTGCAATGTTGGCCAAGGGTGGCTGCTGCGCTCTGCGTAAGACCGGAAACCCCAAATCGGGTTTTCGTCTATCTGGTTGAGGTACCTTCCCCAGCTCCACCTCCAGATGTTCCATGGGGGTTTGAGGTGTGGAGGAGGAGTTAACGGAGCTTGGTGTCTGACAGAGGCAAGTAGGTTCACCCGTGGCATGCACGAGAGACCTGTGGGTGGGAGTGTCCCAGTCTGCTTCTGTAACAGGGTGCCACAGACAGCTACAGGTCACTTTAGCCAGAAACAAAATGCTGCTGTCATCACAAGACAGAGGCTTCCCCACCTTCTCTCTGAGACAGTTTGAAGGCCATTTCTTTTTCAGTAAACTGATAAGTTTTCCCTACATCTGTAATATTTCGATGACTTTTACAAACTCGCCTGCCTGCTTTTTAATAAGTAGGGTTGCATTGATGGTACATGTGCAAGGTCTGACCTTTTCATAGGAAAAAACATTCATAACCAAAGCCTATATATAGAAGCTTAAGACTGGAGTAGATAAAGATGTAGGTCATATGACTTTTTTGTGTGTGAAGCATAATGCAAGAGGGACACAGTAGACAATTCAAAACTCATGAAATAATGCTACTTCCCAATATTTATCAAAGGCTTTAAATAATGACTGTGTTTTCCACTGGGATTTAAAATGCCATCTTCTATCCCTGAAGACAGGATTTTTTTCTGCCCGACAGGGGAAATTTACTTAGTTTAAAAATGTATTTTGCTATCTAGTTAACTCAATTATTCTTGTTAAAGGAAAGAAAGACAGTCACCATAAAATGTATTTAATGAACAAGTGTTCAAAATAATATGATAGGTAATCAAAAAATCTGATTTGTGTCACTTGTCAGACGAAAGCATTTCCCCAGGCTCATCATTACCTAAGTGAACATGGTCCACATTCTTTAGTGTCTAAGGCTAACATGACCTGTATGTGATCTGCCTTTTCAACAATTCCTCAGCACCCATTTTTATATTTTTTTGTTCCACCAAATCCTATATGCCTATACTTCAATATTGCTTCATCTTTGCCTTTGATCCCTGTACCCTCTCATTTTGGAAAACCCTTTCCTAGACATCTCTGTGTGTCTAAGTCTATTCTGAAACATATGGCTCAATGTAAATCAACTCCATGAATCCTTTCCTCGTCTGCCTGTCCCAAGCTCTTTGTCTGTTTGTCTGTCTGTCTGTCTGTCTGTCTCTCTCTCTCTCTTACTCTTTTTTATGAGCTGATCACACTTGTTTTGGATTATACTTATTGGTCACATATCCCTTTCTGCCAGACCATGAACTCTGAGACCAGGGCAAGAGTAATGTCTGAGGCAATCTGTACCCCCACAGTACCTAATACTGGAGACAATGTGCTGTAGGAAACAACTACAAAATACATTCCTGCAATCTGTTTGAGTGAATGAATTTGGCTTTGGAATGCACTAAGAGTGAACTGCTAAGCATTTATTATGTATAGCTACTGCTAAGCTTATTTAAGTATCACCAATAAAGCATGAAGCTATTTTGCATCACCTTCAACAGCTTAAAAAAAATAACCTAAAGCTCAAAGCAGTTCAAAATCTCACCCCATGTCACAGGGCCCGCAGAATGATAGGATAGAATTCAAACTCAGTCCTCTTTGGTTCTGGGGTTTGCCAGTAGCCAACTTGTTCTAGCCTACAATAGCTGCTTGTTAAATTATCAGGAATTTTGCAAACTGGTTGAAAAGCACAGCCATTATTAAAAAGTAAATCATGTAAATGTACAAATAAATTATATTGAAAATAATGGTAATAATATTCAAAACCTGCCACTTCCTATTTTATCTTATGACATTTTATTGTTATATCTGCTCTTTGGTGTATTAATATTTCTTGTACCTGTGTTAGAAATATTACTTAATGGTGTTCTGCTGTGCATCTCTTCCAAACTTCACATTCAGCAATGTTGCACTGGTAGCTTGAAAGTGGCCATGGTGGGAATATTTACACTAAGGATACTGGAAAACACAACAAGCAAAGGCTTTTCTCACCACACCCCTTCCCTTTAGAAACAGTTAAACATTTACCCACCCAGCACTAACCTGGCCCCAAACTGGACAGCACTTCAGTAAGTTAAGACTTTAGGCCCAAGACACACACAGACACCTTTGCTTTTAGGTTTAACTTTTACCAGATAGGGTCTAGCTTTGGACCACAGATACACTGCTTCCTGATGATAGAAAATTGATATTTACAAGACTCCTTTGAGCTTCAGGGTTGGAGTGACAGTAATACTTAGTTGTTATTTTATGCTTATACCTGTATATCTAAAACTTCAAATTTAATTATGCTCTTCATCACATCGTATACACAGGAATATATGATGAATCTATCATAGACTAAAATGGGAATTCTAAAACATGGATGTAAATTATCTCCCCAAGGTTACATTAACACAATAACTTATTGTTATATCTACATATCCTCAGAATCTGAATTTCATGTACATAGTTTCCACACTATGTACTCTATATGTGATCTCATGAAATGAGATCTGAACTTTGAATCAGAGGTTATGGATTTCAGTGCTAGTTCTTTAACTCAGCAGCAGTTCAGTTAACACTGCTGGGCCTCATTTTCCTCATCTCTCCAATGAGGAGTGTGGCCTGGATATCCTTTAAAGATCCTCTGGTTCTACCTCTAAATGACACTACATGGTGCTTCTCTTCTTTAGGACTCAGTTTGCACTTCTGTAAACAAGGGTGTGGGGGGAGTGTCTGAACCAGGTAGTTCCTTACATCCTTGGCAGCTCCATAAGCTGTGGATCCACATGCAAAGCCACATTTTCTACCTCCTGTGTTATTTCCATCGGGTACCATCATGATTTACCATAGGAAAAATGCCAGGTAACCAGCTGAAGGCCCAGAACTCTGGTGCCAAGAGAGGATTTGGCAATGAAGCAGCTTTTCAGGCCTGGAGCTCTAGATGCCACAGGGCCAGGCTGCCGCAGCCCTCAAAACAAAGGGAAATGCGTGGGTGGAAGGAGCGCCTCTGCTGTTTTCTTTTAGATGGTCTAGAAGACTAAAGAAGTGAGGGTGAAATATTTGCACAGAGGTTTTGATTTGACACTTGGGCTGGGTCTGCAGTGGGTATGGAAAAGGAAGGCACAAGACCTAAGGCAGGTGATACTTTCTATTGGACTGGGAGAGGAAGGAGTGAGGTTGGTAAGAAAAGGATTCTGTAGGACCATCTGGAGGAGCTCCCAGGGTACACGGACTACAGGTGCGCAGATGGAACCTCTCCCTCTCTCCCCTTATCTGTTGGTCCAGAACCTGTCATTCATTTCTATCTTTATGGAAAATCAAAAAGTGTTAACTCCTCATCTACATCTTTATCTTTATCCTCAGTCACACAACCCCTTATGCTTTTCAGGTTATAAGCACTTTGACATCCATAATCTCATTTGACCCACAAGACAACACTGTGAAATAAGAATTAGTTTCTGGTACTACTTGGATTCTTCAGTGGAAGAATTGGAGGTTTAGGAAGAGAACTGAAGTTGTTCAATATCACCTTGGTGTAGAGATGAGACTGGAACTGAGCTTGTTCTTTTGGCTCTAAAACTGGTGTACTTTCCAGCCCCTGAATGACCTTTACTTGATGATGTCAAGACTATTAGCTGAAATGACAAATTTCTGAGCTGCCACTTACTCGAGGACTGGCAGAACCACACTAGAGAAAGAAGGAACTAGTGCACTTACAGGCTAAGTAAATCCCAGAAGTGGAGGGGACCCTAGAAGTAGCCAGGACAACCCTTAGCCCATGCCTTTAATTTTCAGATGGGAAAAATGTCCAAAGTCATGTACAGAGTCAGGATCAAAGCTGGAACTTCACCTACTTACCACTGCCATCTGCTCAAGCATTGTTCACTTTTGCTGGCCATTTAGCCCCCAGCAATACAAAGAGGCCATAACTACTTTAAAACCCTTGACTATCACTGTGACATTTTCTACCAGCATGGACATGGACTGAAGAACCCTAGATGGAGGGAGGCCAACATGTTCCAATCTCAGCTGTCATTTTGCGTTCGATCCATCCTGTGCCAGCAATTGGATTTATTGCTGGTGAGAACGGTGACTCATGCTCTTTTAACGCCAACCAACTAATATATCCTGCCACGGCTTGGTAGCTAGAAATGTTTAGTGTGTGATCAAAAATAGAGATCCCACCCTGTCATCCACTTTCTTAAAGTCAGTTTTGCCTAAGTAAGCCTGAGGACTTTCTCAAAATCAGACTTTTACTCAAAATGTAACAAGATAGGCTTTATTTTAGGAATCACTTAATTGTAACCTCTGTGGTGAAGGCTAGCAAAATCTAACAGGAAAAGGTGTCTCATTTAGGAGTAACCTGCCCTGAGTCTGTTCTCACTTGCTCTTTAAATGGATCTATCAACTCATTGCCTCTCTCTGAGCTACATTGTCCCCATCTGCCAAATGAGAGGGTCAAAGAAGGTAACCTTTGGACGACTGTCTGGTTTAATGGGCTCCTTCCAAGATCACATCTTTATCAGAGGCATCTTGCTACCTCCCAGTGTTTCTACATGGTCTTGCTATGCTTTGGGTGAGGTGTTGGCTCATATTTTCATTGTGTCCTTCTCTGTTCCTAAGAGGATGAAGAACTCCTTGAAAGTTAAGGTGAACTATATCAATTTAACCTATATGAAGATATCTTTAAGATTGACAATGGAAAGTACAACAAACTTCAGAACTTAACATGATTTAAGCTTTCTCTCTCTCATTGCAGTATTTCTTTTGAAACTTACTCTCCAGACCAGATGGACTGGCTACCCATCATAACCATTCAAGAGGTAAAGATGAATTTAGAGAAAAACCCCACAGGGCAAAACACAAATGGCATGTTTTATTTTAAAAGTCACAGAGAGTTTTCTCAAGATTCAGCTGGCTTTGACCCTGGAGATCTTGCTGTATTGATTTTTTTCTAAAGTGACTGTGAAAACTCTAGTCTGAATTTGGAGTCTTTTCTGTCATTTACTCAAGTGGTATTTCCTAAGTGCCTTTGCAGTCCTGGCACTTTGCTATGACTGTGGAAAAACAAGGACAATTTTAATACCACCCAGATCATAAGGAACTTAGGGTTTTACAGAGATGATTTAGTATGTGCACAGATTACTACAGTTTCAAACAGTGACTTTAATGCCATGAGAAAGTTCTGGGCTGTTCAGGGGACAGTGAGATTCCATCTCAGTGAAAGTGTTTCCCAGAGGATACACTTCAGTCTTGATAGCACCTTTAGTCTTGATAGTGGTCAGGCAGGATTTTAATTCAATGTGAATGACCCAGAGGTTGGGGAGTTCACTTCTCGGTGATTTCAGTTTTGTTTATTATTCTCATCTGTAGAATGGGATAATCATAATGTCAACCTCATAGATTTGTTGTGAGTAATATGTGAATTCATATGTATTAAAGCTCTTAGAAAAGTTCCTGGAACATTTTAAGTGCTCAGAAACATCAATCTTCATTCTTAGCATCAGAGTGAAATTAACCCAAAGTTTCTTACAGTCTCTGAAGAGACATGCATGGGGGGAAGACCCACACTCACAGAAATTCTTTGTATGTTACAGGAAGGCTCCTCAGGCTCTGCAGATGTCCGTGCTGCACAGCTCACAAGTGTGCTCTCACTTTCTCTCCCTCTCCCCCACAACTCGTCTTTCTTTGTCTCTCAATTGTGAACGCGTGTCTGTGTGTGTGTGTGCGCGCGCGCGCACACACACACACAAGACTGTTTCTCTTTATAGAAGATGAACTGTTTATCAAAAACCCCAGGTGTAGGAGTGTTTCAAATGATTTTTGGAAACTGAAATAATTTTGGAGATAATAAGCGTCAAGTCTGTGGGTGTAAAATACAAACAATAAGCAAGCTCATATTGAAATCTTTACATTTAGGAGAGGTGGGTTCTCATTTTTGTTGGTTTTTTTCCAAAAGCATCATCATTTATGTGGTTTGAAAATGAACTTTCCTCTGGAAATTAGACATCACAACATACAACACAAAGATGTAGCTGATTAATTGTATAAAGGGCTCAGTCGCTTTTGAGCGAGGCTTCATCCTCTTTCAGGCATGGCAGCCTACAAGAATAAATTTGCTTTGAGTCATATATTTTACATAAACCAAAGAGGTTACCCCTAAGATGAACTGTCTGGCTTATTGTTCTCCACCCCCACCGCGTCCCACATACCATTATAGGAAGGCATCAGCAGTTTCAGAACCTGAACTTTCTCTCAAAAATGTCTTTACTTGAACCAAGCAGGATTTCTACATTAAAAAAATAATCATCACTATGCTGTTTGTAATTAATGATTATGGGTACATTGTCTTTTTTTGATGTAAAGGTAATCAGATAATATTTCTTACTTACCATGAGTGTGGCAAACAGTGAAGGAAGTTTTTACCCTGTTGGATCCTTCTGTGATTTTTGTCTCTCTCTGTTCACACTGTGAATAAGGAAAAACATTTGCAAGATGCTGAGCAAGATTAGGGTTCTTGGAGCTCATCTAGTTTGCCGTACAGCTCTCCCATTTTACAGTTGGAGAAACTGAGGGCCAAAAAGACAAAGTGACTTGCCTAAGGTCACACAGCAGCTAGAACCAGGATTTCTGAATTTCAGTCCAGGATTCTAACAATAGAACAAATGATTAAGATGCTAGCCCATAACCACAGCCTCAGAAATACCAGCTCTCTCATAAATTGTAATGACATGATACAATGCTATCTGACCTGAAATTGTTGTTACAAGAATAAATGAGATAATAAGTGTGAAATGTTAATGTAAAATCTTAAATCACTAACTAGATGGTTGATGAAGGCTGCAGAACATTTACTCAAGTCAAGGAAAAAATGAGAATTATTTTTTATTTTGTTTTTTTCTCTAATAAAATGAAATCCCCAAGGCAATTTTAAATGATGTTTGACTGTACATTTTTTTTTGTCAGCCTGAAGTTTCCTTTGCATAGTTCAGTACTAGGAAGTGTCCTGCCATTCCAGAAGGAGAAATAATTTGTCTTAGTCTACCATAAAGCTAGCCATCTTCAACCAAACACAAGTGTGACTGAGGGTCAAAAGCAGAAACACTACACCAATCTTTAATATAGTATTTTTTTACTTATACCCAGGGCAGGAAGTATAAACTCTGAGTGGAGGATCCTCAATCAAATAGGTAAATAATATCTTTGGCACACAAAGCCTTTCCTTCCAGAGCAAAGAAGACTGGAAGCAATGATTGGATGTTAATTCACAAGGTATGTTGGGCTCAAGAATGTCAGTACATGCTGGTCATGGGACTTTGAAGATATGGGTTAAGGACAAGTAGAGTCAGATTGTCAGACACATTTCATGCTTTGGAAGCAGGATCAGACTTGTCTGGAGCCAACCACAGGAGGAAGTTCCCATGAGATAGTATAGCTCAGAACTTTCTAACAATCTAAACTGTTAAAACATGGAGCCAGTTTGCCTCTGAGAAAATGAGCATCTCTCCCAAGAAGCTGTTAGACAGAGACCATGGAAGAAGGGCTGAAGGGGGAAGAATCAAGCTCAGAAGAGCTAGAGACCACATAAAGTCCTCTGTGGTCTGTTATACCCCTAAGAGTCTCTCTGAGAGTCTAGAATTTCTTTTTCTAAATAGGAAGGATGCTATAGAGTCATGAAAGTCAGAATAAAAATAGGCAGAATAGAAAATTCTTGGGTGGCCTTACCTTTCTTTTCCCATAAGAGAAGGATAACAGAATCCTGCACTCAGAGAAATGAAAAGACAGTAAAGTTTCAAGGCAATAAAAGTAGCTGCCTTTAGCCCTATATTAAAGCAACATGCAGAAGTCATTGCTTTCAGACACATGGTAAGGTTTTTGTTTGTTTGTTTGTTTGTTTCTTTTATCACAAAGGCTTTGGTGACTGAAGTCATGTGATCCAGATTGTGCAGCTGGGTTGCGCAGTGCTGGGGGGTATTGGCCTTGAAGCACTACCCTCCAAGGCCCAAGAAGCGCAGCACTTGGCATGGGGTGCAGTGGAGGGAGTGGTGCTGGCATCTGGGCTGCTGGTTTTAGACACCAAGGGGATCATCAGAGAATGTCCCGCTGTTTATCAAAATGGCTTTCATGGAATACTGATCACATGAGGTCCATGTTCACAGCCAACTTAGAGAAACGTGGCACACCCACAGCCCTCTCCCCTTCTCAATTTGCATGGAAAGCTATGAGAAGGACTGGAGCAAAGCAACCTGTTTCATTTTGAATAATTCTGCTCTGCTCTCACTTATGACCATGGCAACCATTTTTACCTGATAACTGCTGCCATCCTGGGGGCTGATGCTCCATCGTGAGTACTTTAGGTAACATTCTTAGGTAACCCCCTGGAGAACTAATAGTCACTTACACAGGGACCCACAGATTGTCAGAACTGAAAGCAACACTTACTTTAATGTCATTCCTCTATTTCTTTTTTTAAATAAGGAAAGCAGAGGCCTGGAAGGGTTATACAAAAGTATTGACCAACAGCCAGGAATCCTGACCTACAAGAACCTGAAATTTTAAGATATCAGCAAGTGAGTGTGCAACATTAAGTCATGGATTATGATGTAATACTATATTATCTATAAGGTTTTATGGGAGTTACAAAAATCCTGGACTTGGAATCAATGGAATTGGCTTCTAACCTGAAGTGTCTGGCTTTTCCACCATCACTGCTTGGGCCCATCATTCTACTTTGATTAACCCTGGCATTCTCCTCTCTGAACTGGGGAGAATGAGGCTTGTCTGGATGACTTTACAAGTTCTGGGGAGAATCAGAGAGAGAAAGGATATGACCATAGCTTCTAACTGTAAGGTACTGTATAAATGATAGAAATCTTTCTTCCTCCTAATGGGTTGATGCTATAGCTGACATCAAGAGGATGTGTTATTTTCCTTTGCTTTCCTGTTTCGTGAGGAGGGTTTGCATGAATCTCTCCACAGACTCCGTCTTTTAACCACTTTCACTGGTTAGTGAGGCGATCTGCTACCTCAGTGTGGGAGCTCTCAACCAAATTAATTACCCCCTGAAAGGAGCCATTGAATCAATGACCTTACACTCATACATTGCCAAGCTGACATGCAAGGGAAGGCAGAAAGTTATAGGTAGGGCCAAACCCTCAGCAGAGTTTTGGATATTTGCCTCCTAATTCTCATAAACACCCTTGAAGAAAACAAAGGCTTCCAAATTCTGTGTTGTCAGAACTAAAGAAAAAAAAAGAAGAAAAAGAAGTAGCCAACAACATCACCACCAAAAGAAAAGAGAGTGAAAGAAACAGAATGACTCGGTGGATGAAGCTTTATCTGTGGAATGTTATTGATGATCTGAGTGTAGTGTGAGATCTTTAAGTGAAATGAATTGGTGGTTTCAGTTCCGGATATGGTATGCAAAGAAAAAATCGCTCTCTGAAATTCAGAGCTTCCTCGGCTATGTTTCAGGAAGCTGCACGTCTGAAGCTGAGCGCGGAAACCAACTCATCTCTAGCCCTTTGAGAAGGGCCTCTCCAGCCTCCAGACTGTGGGCAGGACCTGAGGCCTAATGGGAAACCAGAACTGGGTCTGGCCAAACCTGGAGAAGGAGATCATAAAGAAAGTTGCCAGGTGCACACCTCTTTCAGGGTGCTTGGCCTCACAGAAAATACAGGCAGTGTTCTTTCTGGTCAAGCTACCCCAAAGCTTTTCAACTTGCAGTTCATGATAGATGAGTGGCCTGAAATGGGAGAAAACAAAAATACAAATGCAGTGCTTACCTTGTTTTCAGAGTCACATTAAAGCAGGTTGGCTGACTGACCCGCCTGGGGGAACAACATGACCCTGAGGCTCTGAGTGTAAACAGTGTCATGTGTTTTCACACCAACAAGCTCTAGGATCAGTGAACTGTTCCTGGTTCTCCCAACAGTCTGTGGATTTGGTATGTCTTGTGTCACTCAGGTACTAAGGAGCCCTAGGAGTGGTATTTTTAATAACTGACTTAGAAGATAAAAACATGTTAGAGATCATATTTCTCACTTTTTCCCTTTAGACCACAAAGACAGTTACACTTGATGTGTCAGTTAAACTGAGGCATGGAATCCCAGCATGACAGAAGGGAGCTCAGATCTTCCAGAAGTGACCATTTCTAAGCGTGACCCTAAGACCCTAAATCAGTGGTTTGCAGACTTTCTACTGACCATCTCAGCAACCGCTAAGGTGGCCTTTTGCTTCAATTTGATCAACACATTAAAACACAAACACACACACACACACACACACACACACACACACACACACACTTATTTAAGGATAATGAGAAGAATCCTAGTTTATATGAGAAGTCAGTGAGAGACAAGATGGTATTGGGAGGATGGGGACCACAAAAACCTTGTCTTAGGGTCAGCATTTCTGACTTCACTAACTCTATAACCTCTGGCAAGCCACTTATCTCTCTAAACCTCGCTTTTCTCATCTGTAAAGTATGAAGAGTGATTACAAAATAACAGGACATTTAAAAGCATTTACATTATAAATGATAAGGACTATGCAAAAGTTCAGAGTTATTACTCTATATAAGCTTTTAAATATTAATGATTAATTTGTGTTAGAAGTAAAATTTCAGACTTCATCATAGAATAAGTATTAATCTTCCAAAGTTTTTCATCTGAACAGCACTAATGAACATACTGGTCCACGTTATTGATGTGCTTTCCACTTCCAAATAGTATTCAAAGTAACTTATAAGATATAGAGATAACAGCATCATCAAAACATAATAAAAGATTAAAACCTAGTCATATTGAAAGAAAAGGACAATGAGAAGGAAGAAATCTCAAAATCAGAAGAATTTAAATGAAGCATGTATTTTGATTTGAGCTTCCCAGCAGCATAGAGAAAAAAAAGGAAATGGCTTGTATTATGGAGTCCTCTTCATCTAATGAAGGAAGAATAGCTATATATGGATCAGGGAGGGGATTCCAAAGAATTTCTGGCTCTAAGCTCCACAAGAAATATATCATAGACATCTTTATTTATGGGATATCAAAAAAATATAATGGGTAATATCTTCAAAAAGAGATGCAGCAAAGATACTGTTCCAGTCTAACCACCAGGCGATATTTCCCTCTATGAATCAGTGCTTGTTTTCCCAGAACAAACAAACAGCAAGATGATTAATAAAAGGAGCAGGCTGCCTTAAAAAAAAAATAGGACAGTGAAATCAGAATGTTTGCCCCTGGCCAGGGCGTGCCGCTGGCCGGGTTCTCACTCAGGCAGTCACCATTCATTAGGGGAGTCAAGCAGGCAAGGCAATCTGCAAGGTGCCTTGCACAAGGTCACTTGGTGTCTCTGAAACTGAGTCTGCATCCTGAGTTCCTTAATATGATTTTTTAGGTCACAGTGTTCTAGGCAAAACTCCCTGTTGATGTACATCTCTCATGCAAGATTTAGATCACCTCTTTTCGGGCAGAGCTCCATGGAAACACCGCCCATGACTTCTGAAATGGAGTCTGATTGGGTCCTGGTAATGCCCAGCTGGAGTGGACAGTGATCTCTGCGGTTGACACATTGCTGGACAGTTGGCAAGGCTGAGACTCCCGTATCTAGTCCTTGTAAGCTATTATTATTTTAATGCTACAGTAAATTCTTGTTTACCTAAAATGGCTAGGGACTGGGATATTCTAGGCAATAGAAAATTCTGGTTTGTCTGGTTATTATCTATATTACTTGCTGATTCTGAGCTTCCAAATAAGTATGCTACACACACTTTGTTAAACACTAAAATCATATTCCGGTATGATTTAAGGTGTTTTTGTTTTTGATAATTCATAAGATACTTTAGGATCTATTAACTTCAATATCATCACTAAGATAGTAACTTCATTTTCTGGGGTTCTGGGTAGAAATACAGAAGTCATGGAAAATTGGGCAGCATCTGTAGTAATGCCCAACCAAGCCATTGGAATTGCTGTTGCAATTTAGCTGAATCACTTCATCCTGGATATCAGTTTGTTGGCAAGTGAAATAATAAACTTGCACAGATTAGCATAGTATCCTGTATCTGGTAAGTTATTGCTTTATAATTTTCCCCCCTAGAGAACATCAGAATAAGAAGAAAAGATTCTGATTCATTTTATTGGCCAGTTTAGCATCTGAACAAGTGCAATGCATAGTTCAATTTATTAGTTGTGACAGGGACCACAGAAATAACATGCCTAGTTCCATCTTTAGAAAAGAAGACTGAGGCCCAGAGAGGGCGTGCAGCTCGGCTATGGTCTTGTGGCTGTGACGGGTTTGAGTTGATGGTGGAACCTGCATCCCGTGAGTCTAAGGCCAAGGCTCTTTTTAGCAGTTTGACTTTTTACAATATGCAGTTTCTGCACAGTGGGTAACAAATGGAAAGATGGAGGACAAATGTTCCCTTTGCACTGGGTCTCTAGGAACTCACCATTATCGATACTGTTTAAAGGCCATCAAAGTCCCCTTCTGTAGAAGAGCCCTGGCCGGCCTCTGAAACTGTTCATGGTTTAAAGGACTACTGAAGTCCCCAGGATCCAGTCAAAATGAAAACTTTTCAAAAGTAGCAAAGAGTCATACAACTCCCCACTCCTGCCTGAGTCACTTTATAAAAAGCCACCGGACAGGTTTAAATTCTTAGCATCTTTCTTTGTGTTTGCCTATATTTTGAAGCTTGATTCATTCTTATCTCTGCCTCATGGGTACTTTCAATGGTGAGTCCATACTCACTTAACTTCCAAATTAATTTATGGTAAACTCCTCCCTGTGTAGGAAGGGGGAGAAGGATATGAATGCCTTTAATGCTGATTGCATTTTTGAAAGACAGGACTCCATCACTTCAAAATGAGTTGCCCTCGAGCTTTGGAAATGCTTTATTTCCCTTAGCTTTTTCAGACCTGTCTCTTTTCCTCTTACCATTCTCTGTGCTCTCACTCCTGCCTTTGATCATGGGCCTGGAAACCTGCTGTTTGCACATGACAAACCACAGAGGGCTGAGATCTCTACTGCTTTCCAGAGGGAAGGAGGAAGTCCCACATGGGACCAATCCAAGGGTCTGAGGGCCTCAGCTCTTGCTATTACTGGTGCCAGAAAGATACTTCTCATATCTCGCTTTCTAGATCACATCTTTTTAGCTCCAGGAAACCTTTTCTCAGAGACCTCTCTCTCTCCTCTCCACCTCCCATGCACATGTGTTACCCTAATATTTTATGTAAAATCCTTATGTTGATTATAGATAGGTAACAGATCACAGACTCTCCCAGGAAGGGACTATAGAGGTCATGTGTCCAGCTCTCCACAAGGCTTGAGAGGCGCCACTACCAAGCCCTTTTACCAGTGGTCATGCAGGTAAGAAAGGAAAGCAGTCAGAGTAAGGTGCTCCATACTGTCTACCTCATTCCCTCTTAGCTTCCTCCCATGACCACCATTGCCTACAAGATGCATTCTAAACCTTGGAGACTGGCACTCAAATGCAGGAGCAAGGCCTGGCAAAAATAGATACCAGGTAAAAATTGTTTGAATAAATAATGACACAGATTTTTAAGAC